ACTCCAACAAGGCCACACCCACTCCAACAAGGCCACACCCACTCCAACAAGGCCACACCTAATAGTGCCACTCCCTTTGGGGGCCATTTTCTTTCAAACCACAGGATATCTGATATATGACCCCCCCCCCAAAAAAAAGGGTCACAGCCTACAGGTTAAGAACTATTGCTCTATAATGTTTCAATCTGAAACAAATAGCTACTCATCTACTAAGGCGGTCTGTCTTATAAAACTCTCCTGAAGAAGCCCACCCCAGAAGCATCTGGTAGAGCTGCCCTGCCCCCACCCTACGCCTGCCTTCATCCCTGAATTTCCCCATTCACTAAAATTCCAGCAATGTTGAAATGTCTCCTCACTATGCTGACTCCATACATCTCCAGTTTTTTCTTCCTAAATGCTAATGTTCATCTCAGCACCAAGGTATCCTTCCAACCATACCCTTTATGAGTTTACCCTACTTCCCGGTTTAGCTTCTTGATCAAATCGCCTGTTAGAGGTGCACTGAATATCCTAACATGCCCATATCCATCAGATTCTTGTCACAGCTTCAATAATTGGACATGGCTTTTGGCAAAACCCTGGCCTGAGCAAAAAGGAAGTGTACCTGGCTTCCTGTGGTTTTATGAGGCCTCTTGCTGTGGTCCTCATCTGACCATCATCCTCCAGCAGGCAGCTGGCCCATGAGATGGAGGCACCATGACACCCAGGAGCTGCAAACCCATATCTAGATCACACACTATCTAGATGCCCATTATCCAGTACCCAAAGCTCCAGACCTCCTTGTCCCAATGTCCTAATCTTGCGGCCAAAGAGAGCAGAAATGCTGTATGGTGGCCAGGCAGATGGGTTGAGAGGGTCACTCTGAGCATCAGTGGCAGATGCCAAGCATCACACGAACAGTGATCAGTGTATTTCATGGCCCAGGCCAGGATCCCTAAACCCCCAGGTCATGGGGAATACAGGCAAGGGTAACCCGGGAGCAGCTAGCAAAATCCCATAGGGTGGGCACAAGGGTGGGAATGGAGACAGCTGAGGACCATCTGCCTTCAGAAGAACTCAGAAGTCACCTTCCGGGGAAGGATTGTTCCCTTGATGCTACTGCCAAGGGGCTAAAGGATGCTGAAAAGAAATGTATGTTCTTGAGAGTTAATTAAAAAAAAAAAAATTCCGTCTCGTTTATAGTATGTCCCCTGGTCTTGTGGTCCTGACAAGTAAGAGTGGATCAAGCCTTAGAATTTGTCTTCTCTCATCAACTTGAGCCATGTTCCCTAGGCAGGATTTCCAGGGTGAGGAGCAGTCTTTGTCAAAAGGACTTACACCTTCAAGCTCCCTCAGTGGCCCCACACAGATGGAGGTGAGCAAGCACGCACCAGGGAAGGTTCAGGCTCTGTACCCTGCTACTAAACACATGTGGTCAACATGCTCACTGGGCTCTGGGCAAGGTCTTGGATGCCCAGCAACACCCTCTCTTCACCAGAGTGTGGTGACTATGTCTGGGAGCATTCTTGAAGAATACCCCAGAACCGTCGAGATCATTAATACAGAGTACCAGTTTCTATTCCTTAAATTGAATCCAGAACTTCCCCTTTCCTCCCTCTTTTTCATTTGCCACAGCTATGGCATTTTTTTAAGTTAGGTGGACCATCGTCTATGAAAAGCTGTCTACCAACAAGTTGCGACACTGACGTATTTCCTTCCAGCAAAGAACATGTGAAGTCCTTGCGTTATTAGACAAAATATATGGCCCAGTTAATTATTTAAACCCCTGAAGACTTGAAGAGAATTTCTTTTGCCTTGACTTTTGCAGATCCAGGTAGGATGTGCCCTCTCTATCAGAAGTGACACCTGCCAGATGCTTCCATATCCTCCTCCACCCAGGTTTTTCTTTTCTTCTTTCTAATCTTGTTATTATTATTGTTGTTGTTGTTGTTATTGTTATTATTTGAGTTCAACAAGAACTTATGAGTCTATTATTTTTTTTCTTTCCTTTTGAGGATATCCAGGAAAGAAAGGGTTAGTTTGAGAGACACATTGATACTCTCCTAAGACAGGGCAGGGGTCAGCTGCTCTGGGGAGAGTTGACAGATTAGGCCCCGAGCACACGAGCATGGCTACACATTCACTCACCTCTGCACATGCCACTCTTCCCCCGGGCTTCCTGGAAGGGCAGGCCACTGTCAGTGAGAACAACAGCTCAGCGCCTCCGCAGAACAATAGATTTTGATTAGAAAAACGCTAATGCCATATCTATTTGTTAATTGTAGACTCTTAACAATTTCTGTCAAATGTGGGATTCTTTTTTTTTAATTTCTGAAGAGTAATCATGGGCTTCTGAAATTCTGTGTGAGCCCTTTGGGTTCAGGCTTTTGTTTGAAAAATGTGGGGGGAGGGAGGGGTGGGGGAACAGTAAGAGGATGTGATGGAGTATTTCTCCTTCCAAGGGTACTTGAGACAACAAATGTTGAGCTTACAGTTAGAATCACAAAGAACCAAAGATAGCCACCTGAAAAGTTTTGATCAAGATGTTTACATTTTCAGTTCAAGCACTGGACTTGAGAGAGGGAAATCAGAGAACACATGTAGAAGTCCCACTTTTTATTTTCACACAAGGCATCTCAATTAGTGTCTCAGATTTACTGTCTACTGCAATCGAGACAAAATAAGAAACCATCCAAATGAAAGAAAATTACAACCGCAGGAGGAAAACCATTGTTTTCTAGGTAGGAGAGGGTGTTTGGGCCATTCAGCGCCATAAAAGCAAAAATGAAATCAAATATCAATTAAAAGGCTAGCATAAGACAGGCGCACTGAACTGCCGCTGGCCAGAGCTCTATAAAGTGCGAGAGGATCGTCCTGAGCTAGACGTGTTTGGAGGTTAAGAGATTCAGAGAGTCAAACTTGCCTGGAAATATTTGACAAATAGTTGAGACAGGCCAGCCAGAGAACTCTTTCGTGCCTGGGGAGTTGAAGTGCACAGCTTTTCTTTTGAAGGAGGGCTCTGGCCTTCTGAGACAGAGCCGGTGATGGAAAGGGAGAGAGCCCAATGCCTTGTCTTTTGAATGTGTCTCCTACTTGAGGCCCAAATTTGGCTCGTGGCCGGTCCTAGCAGGGCACCGGCTAGAAGGGAACAGGTCCTTTGTGAAGAACTCCCAACTGTACCTCGGTAGGCACAGCAAACGCACACCGCGCAGGCAGCTGTGCTTGGGGAACCCTTCACCTGGTAACAGGAAGAGGGGAGCCACCCTCTCCGCCTTCCTCCATGCTGGGGTCCCCATCTGCTGCCAGGATCCAGCAGAGAAGGGAGACCCCATCACTACACAGACGGAGTTCAGAGTGCTTCTGCAAACATCCCTGTGAGCTTCTGAAAAACATCTGGTAGGGACAGCTATTTGGCACAGTCATAAAATCCGATGGAGCCAATGGGGTCCACAAGTCTGTGAAAACTTCACCACTGGCTCCCAGCTTCCTTTTTTGTGACTACACTATTTAGGAAAAGTTACTCTCTTTGGTTTTGGATCTTTACAACTTAATAAAATCATCCTAACACTTAACATCATAGTTTACACGTTCCACAGGCTCATCCATTGAGACAGGTCTCTCCCCAAGCTAAAACCTCTTTGCTGTGACAAGCTCTGGGAATGCGCCCG